AAGCAACAGAATAAGGAACCCGGACTTCAGAAAAGCAGACTTGGACTCATTCAGGGAGCTGGTGGGCCAAATCTCCAAATCAGAATCAAATCGCTAGAAGCTTAAAACTTTCTGAATCGATTCAGAGCCTCCAAATTAATTCAGAAAATATTCAGAAAAGATTCAGTGATTTGGAGATTCAGAGAGCAGTCTTTATGGGGAAACAGAAACTTAGAAGAGGGAGGGGGAAGATGGGGAGGAACGTGCCCCCTGGATCTGGTCGGTGCAGGGTGGGCTGCAGCTGCAAACTGGAGCCAGGGCAGACGCGGGATGGAAGCTCCCACCGCTCATCCAGGAGGGCATGGGGGGGGCGTGTGCCCCTGGTTCTGACTGGCCAGGGAGGAGCCCAGCTCCAGTCCACCCCACCCCGGGCAGATCCAGGGACATATGTCCCCCACCTCCCAGACAAGTGGCAGGAGCTGCCAGATGAGCACTGAACCAGTCACACACTATAGCAGGAGTCGCCCCCCTTCCTGCACTCCCCAATGAGCCATGCCTCCATCCTGCCCTGGCCCCAGCTGGGCAGCCCCTACCCCAGCCCCAGCCGCAACCGCAACCCCACATCCTCCCTCACCACGGGGACCAAGGCCCCTCCCACGCCCCTTCCCCCTCCCACCTCCCCTTCCACACCAGACTTACCAGCTGCACGCAGCACTCCACGCTGCCAGCTCTACTTCTCACTGCCTACATGCAGTGCACATGCATGGGCATTTATTGGACAAATTATCGGCCACATTGGGCCGATTTCCAATACAGAAAGTTTTCTTTATATTGGTGCCGATCTGAAATCGGACCTATGTATCGGTGCACCTCTAATCTGAGCATTTCTTTTATTTAAATAGTTTATTTATAGAAGAAACTTCTGCACCCTTCCATGTTCAGTGAACCTCAACATGACTTTATATCTAGGAGGTGAACCCATCTTAGGCCTCATTGCAATATCCCCAAGGTCAGCTGGGAACAACTTCCTACAAGTACCATCAGTATGCCAAGTCTGCTTTGTAAAAAACACACGCAAATTGTTCCACAGCCTCAAACTCCAGTTCTCTTAAGGCCTGCCAGAGCTCAAGCCTGGACATCTTTCAGAAGTAGTGCAAGACCTTTCTGTTTGACTTGATATTTAGCAAACAAAGCTAGGCCAATAAATCATTTAGTCAGATCTCAGCTTTATTTTGTTATTGCATTTTATTTATGCTATCTGCCCTGTTAAATCGTTCTATTTCTGTTCCTGTAAGCTGCCCAGAGCCTTTGTTGGGAAGGGTAGGATATAGAATTGAAATAAATAAATGTCTTCATTTATGTATCCCAGAATATCAGTCTACAATGAAAATCTAATATTCTTCAGAAGTCTATTTTGATGATAATACAAAATGACCTGGGACAGACACTGCAGGCTAATTTCACCAGGGCAAGACGTATGTTTTCACAGGCTATATTATTTCACTGCTCAGGCAATCCAACAAGCTGCAAAGATATGGAGACGAGCCAAGGCTCTGCAGTCACACAGAATCATTACTAGTATTAAAAGTCCTTACAGGAGTTGCCTGATATTGCTCCAGTCCACACACATGGTTGGAACTTTCGTGCTGCAATGCTCATGGAATTTGTAGCCACACGTCTGACACCGGAACCCATTTAGCAAGAACTTCTGGCAGATGTCACAGAAAGCAAGTTTTAGAAAGGTTTTCCGAGCCTAGGAAAAAAAGTTAACAGTTACTTTTAATCAGTATTTACAGTGCTAGTTCTGTTGAGGACTCAGATGAACACTTTTGGGGTTTGACAAACAATGACAAAATCTTCAGTAAAAACCAGAGTTGTAATTCTGATCTAAGCTACACATTGATCTTAACACTACAAATAACAAGGCTTATATGTTTTTCATGTCATTATTGTCAAGCCTTTACAAAAATTTAAGGGTATCTTTACCTAACTGCACAGCCCTGAAATTTAAATGAACCTTGATCAGATTCATACCACCGTCCTGTTCCTAAGAAAGTGTCATTCTGTCATTTAGTAATATTTAAAGCAAGTTTCTTTAAACAAGCTTTGATTTTTAAACAACTTGCCCTATGTTTTACAAGACTTCAGTTAGGGAAAATGAAAGCAGGGAATAGAAGACTTCACAACATGCTACAAAAGGCAAACTCCAAATCTAGATCCCCACTGGCTCAAGAAAAACATTTTGCATTTTATTCTGCGTAGTCATAAACAAGACCATCTGCTGTCAACACCAACAAGAAAAAAAAAAATGTGGCTTACAGCTTTTACATAATTCCTAACTTTAACAGTCTACTAAACATTCTTTAGCCCTACTAAAAGGATGAAACAATGAAACCCATTCTGCTATAACATTCCCATTGAAAAAGTCACCTGGACAAACAAGAAACTGAAGTTCCCCATGCATTTTGTCAGGGGTGTCAAATATGGCCTGCAGGCTGCACCCAGCCTGCAGAAGCGTTCTATCCAGCCCGCTGGCAGGCAACCAAGTATGGGAGGGAAAGGGAGGCAGGAGGCTGCATGGCCAGGAAGGAGTAGCCTGCCACAGAATCTAGGACCCTTGGACCCTGGTGATCATGGCCACCAGCAGCAAGAAAGTGAGCAAGGATTGATACAGCTCCAGTTGCTGTCACCACTCTGGGCCTACCTCCTTGGCCACCTGGACTCCTGCCCCATGGTCCCTACTGAAGCCAGAGATGCCTTCACTAAATGGCTCAGGCCCCAAGCAGAAAAGTCACAGAGACGCACAGCAGGAGCCAGAGCTGCTACTGCCTCCAGGTGCTCCAAGCTGGAGCTGCTTCATGCTGCTGCTGCCGCCACATACCCTCAGCTGGACCCACAAAGGGCCCTCAACTCCAGATCTGGCATGAGGCAAGTTTGACACCCCTAGTTTAGGTAGTAGTAATATATGGCCATACTGTACGAAAACAGGACTAGATTTCATCCTAACAGGGGAAAGAAAGGTCTTGAGAACTACATGTATTACTTTCAAATCCAACAGATTTAAAGTATAATCCCTGCTTCCCTCCCCTTCTAAAAAGATGATGAACTCCAGCCCATCTCTTGTCTTAGCAAGGGGAACCTATAACATGCTTTGAGAGGGAAACTAGATTAATCTCCCAAGGACACAATTCTGTTAAATTGTGCACATAATCTTATACACAACCTGGTAAAGGTATGTCATAATTTGCATAAATATAGACATGCTGAGCACTCTAAAAAAAATTACAATCTGAATAAGCCTAGATTAGAGAATCTGCTAAGGCGCTAAACCTACTGGGTAACTTAATCAGTAATTTATCAAAATGGAAAATCCTATTCTGTATCTGAACTACCCTTGATAAGACTGCATTCTAAGAAGTCAGTTCATTATTTGGGTCCATCTGTATGTATATATCCACAGAAGATGGACAGTCATCAGTGCCTGGACTGAAACTCTGTAGAGATTTGCGTATTTTTCTAGTAATGACTAGTGCCTAGCTGGTCATTATGGACCAAAAAAATTATATCTTTCCTCTAAATCCACAAGATGCATAAATAGTTTTACAGAACATTGAGAAACTGAATAGATTCCTCTTAATGTGGAAACTAGGATGAAACTTTTATTCTTTTTTAGTATTAAAGGATATTGTCAACAAGTATGTAAAGAACATTGCTTAAAGATCTGACAGTGCCTACCTTTTTATTATTGCAACTAAATTAAGTAGGGCATTGCCACATGTTCTTGGTAAGCTACACTGACTTGCAGGGGCTAAAGCCTGTTAACAATTACTGCCTTAATTACTGTATTTTACTGGGATAGATGCACTGTAGCATCATGATCTAAAGCTTCTCCTTGTGGTTAGAAAGCTGATTACACTTATGACCTAAGATGGAATATCTGCTTCAACTGAAAGCATAAACATAAAAAATAAGAAAGAAAAATAAACTTACAAAGTTATGTGTTGTGAGTGGAACATGATCAAGGAAATCGACTTGCAGTTCCTCTCCAATCAAACTGGCAGCATCTGTACTCCAATCCAAACGTGCTTTTTTACTAAAAAGGAAAACACATACTTAGGAAAACTGAGAAAAAACTGGTATGTTCAAGAACATAAATAGTGCACATGCCCCCGTAACAGGAAAACAAAATACAACTAAACTTTTAGAGCAAGTCATATTTCAGTTATTTTTACAGAGTTCAGACTACCAATTTTGCAACAATATCAGATCAACTTAAGTGGTTTGGATTATAGTTTCTAAACCAAGGGTGGGCAAAATACGGCCCACAGGCCAAGCCATTCTATCCAGCCTGTGGGGCCCATAAAAATTTAGAAAATTAATATTTATCTGCCCCTGGCTACCTGTCAAAGATGACAGCCCTCGATCTGCACCCCCATGCCCCCCCCCGCAACAGAATTACCGGCCAGATACTGCTCTCCAAGCTGCTGGACTTGCATATCGGGAATCAGATCATATTAGCCGATATGACTTGTTAATCAGCCATCGGTATTGCACCGGCACCACTACTGCTTAGGATTTAAATGATCCTAGATAAATTTAAAATATTCTGAGTCATAAGTCTTACCCTTTTTGTTCATTAAAAAGCCGAAAGACTGCACAGCATTCTGACTGCAAGCCTCTCACTTTGAGGGCCTTCATAAGACAATCATGGAGAGTCGTTCCATTTCGCACATTCACCTGTGAATTAAAGAAAATGTTACACAGGAAACCCCCACTATTCATGGGTTTGGCATTCGCGGTTTCAAATATTTATGAATGCCACTGGACCTGTCCACCCGCCACAGCCGCGGGGGGCACTGCATTCATGAACATAGTGCCTTATTTGTGGATTTTGCCATTCACAAGGGATACAAGAACGTATCCCACATGAATAGTGAGGGTCACCTGTAGTTTAAAACGGAGAAGAATATCAAAGGGTTAAAAATTCAGATCCTCATGTTCTGCATAAAAAGAGACACACCACATACCATATACCACTACCATAAAGGATTACTTTATTAATTCAGTGACCCAAAGATTAATGGGGTTGTGGCTGCCCAGTGGTAACTCATAGTTTCATGTTCTTCTCCAAGTTTGCTGTGGGAAGGAAAAGGGGGAAAAATGCACACATTTCTGAAAGTCAAGAAGAGTTAAGATACATACTTATTATGATATTAAATTCTTTCCCCCTCCCTAAGGTGGCACTGACCAATAAGAATTATCTGCATGCAACCTGAGCTGAGTTCACTGTGTGTTAGATGCAGCTGAACCAGGGGGTAGGCAAAATGCGGCCTGCAGGCCAGTTGCGGCCCACCAGGCCATTTCATTTGGCCCGCAGAGCCCATAAAAAATTAGAAAATAAATATTAATCTGCCCCTGGCTGCCTGTCATGCAGCCCTTGATGACTTGTCAAAATTCAGTAAGCAGCCCTCCGCCCAAAATAATTGCCCACCCCTGGGATGAACAATAGATGGTTTCTGTGGCAGGGC